TTATAATTTATTATTCTTGTCGATAGCTTTTGTCGATGATGATGATGCATCGATAACGTGGTCGACTGCAATTATACCCTAAATTGTTGTGTAAATTATTTCAAACTAGAGAGTTCTGATGACCGATTAAAATCTAATTTATAACATATAATAATATCTCGTCTGATCATTCATACAATATATAACAATGAAGGTTGAATGAAACCGCTTTTGTGAAGTACCCGTTTAATCCATTGTCGACTGAATGCGATTGCTTCCAGTAAAAACGAATCAAATAGAAAACATGACTTAACCGCGTTAATCTTCCACGTTTCGTGGATGCAGAAAATGATATGGGGTAAATCATAAAGGACACAAAACTGAAAATCGCTTTATCCTGTCGCAGCAGCAACATGTGCTGCATGAAGACGCATCTTTTCAGTACGGGATTACATATAATTGAGTACGCCTCGATCAAACAGATGCCCCCGGCACGCGCTGACCCTGGACAGATGGCCGAGAGCGGCCAAGGAGCGCGGATCGTAATTATAAGTACCTCAGGACAGATTGACCTCTTGCACTAGCAAAGATAAACAAAACTAGATGTAAGTGGAATTCTGTCTTAAGGCAATTAGAGCATCGTGCCTTAGGGCAAATTGCTGGAACTTCCCGTACCAAAAATTATTATTTTTTTAAAAACGATTAACATTTTTGAAAAAAAATTACTTCGAAAAAATAAGATTTTTGAGAAACTATAAATTGGACAAAAAATTACTTTTTTTTTGAAAAAAAATGTTTTCTTTATTTTGACATATTTTGGAAGATCTGAACTTTTTTTCAAAGCAATCGTACTGCTTTAACTGCATAGAGACAAAATATAAAGCGCGTAAGCGCCGCGTTGCTGTCTAACGGGTGAACATTGGTACGGAACCCATAGGAATGTAAACAAAATTTATACTTATTGTTAAAATCTCTATAAAATATCTGATAATTTGATGTGCATATGTCTAATGATCATTTTTGACCGCCAAATGGCATTTTTTTTTACTTTTTTTGTTAGATCTCCGAAACCGCTAGACCTGCCCTTATGAAAATTTGATCAATTCTTCATCTTGTCAATGCAAGTAAAATGTTTTTTGAATTATTAAAATCGGACGCTCCGTTCTCTTAAAAATTGAGGTACCGTTTTTGGCTCTTTTTGCCCCATATCTTCGGAACGAGTAGACCTATCTCCGCCAAAACTAATCAGTACGTCTCCTTATCAATACGAATCGAATGTTTTTTAAATTATTCAAATTGCTTCATCCGTGTTCCCGAAATCGTCGACGAAAATTTGTATCAGCACACACATACATACACGCACACACACACACATACACACTCACACATACATCCATTTTTTCTAAGGTATGCCAAAATATTCAGAAACCTCTGAAACGTAAAGTTATATAAAAATTTTCATTTTCGATTTTTTTGCGATTACTATAACTTACCCTACGGGAAGTTAACTAGATTTGGGCAAGTATAATATTAATACAATTTATTAAATGAATGTAATGCATTGATGATGCAAAATAATGCACCCCCTTTCTATATAGAACTAACTTCAATCTTTTTTTCGTATAAATAAAAATAATATTAAAAAATATCTATAATAATGTAGAATTCTGAATTGTAATTATTTTATTTATTGATCTCAATTCTTATTATGAATCTCTTGAAGGAGATGTTAATGATTTCGCCCGAAAATCCGGCTTGCTAATTTAATCCAGACGTTTCAAATTATTATGATTTCAAAATTTATCCAAAAATTCTAAACCGGTTTTGAATATATAAAAACTCGTTTTTTTGCAATTAAATGTTAAAAAAAATGTTTTGACTTTTTTAATAAAACTTAACATGACGATAGAGTTAATGGTCAAACTAGTAATTCCGAAAGTGGTTCATACCTCATTTTATAAATGGTCCTAAAAAATAAAAAAACGTACTTTTCTGTAAAAATTTAGGGTAGAGCAGTGCACAATAATCCATTTTGATTTTAAGAATTTATATTATAAAAACCAAACTAATTATATCCCAACAAATAACAAACACCTAGCTAATGATTGTAGAAATGAGTTTTTTTTCTGTTTTCCAAAAATTTGTTATCTTGTCTTTTTTACGCCATATGCGGGGTAAAATGGAATAGCCAGGGGATATACATGTAATAATTTTATTTAATTTTTGAAAGATTTTATGAAATAATAGGTACGTTTTTTAAGCAATGCAAAATATAAATTTCATGGATACATTTTTTTACAGGGATAGAGCTTTATATATAACCTTATTGATTTGGTATTTTGTCAGATATGTTCATTAGCAAAGTTGGAATAACTATTTATTTAATTTATTTCTTGTAAAATTGCTTTTTTTAACTTAATTTACTTTTTAGCTGCTACTTTTGTTCATTTTTATGGTTCCTAACCTTTTATAAAGGTTATATTAAAAAACTGTTAAATCTAACCTAAAATTAACAATACATCTTATAAAATAATTAAATAATGTATACTTAAGAATTATATTAAAGTCTCGTAAACTGAACAACAGCGCTCACAACCAAAAAAAACTAACAATGAGAGAAAATACTCTTGTTATGGATTTTCAAACATTGCCGTTTACTTTTCCGTCTACCTTTAAATATTCTTGATAAAAAATTCACAACTTTACTTATTTTTAGAATATTGGTGATGAACTTTTTTACCCGTGCACCTTCAAGCCCCGCTCTACGACATTAAATATGTGATACTAAATTTTAGTACAATTAGAAATTAATAAAAAAATAAATCAAGCAAATAAGAAATCACAACACAAGAAAGTTTAGAAACATATGATTTAAAGAAACATCCTAATTTATTATAGTAGGGGGAAGACCCGTAACGCCGGACGGCACCAAAAGCCGGACACTCTATTTAACACGTATTATTTAAGCGAGTATAAATCTTTTAATTTCAAAATACAAGCGAAGGGGGCGCGGGGGGCACACAGGTGCAGGATCACGCGCCAAGACTCACCTGTGACGCACACGGCCACGGCGGGAGCAACCCATTGTTGTTTTAGGCGCAAAAACACGGCGTCCCCTAAATATCAATGGAAGTAATTCTAGTGTATTTATGCAATTATATTTTGTGGCATTCAAAAATAAAAGTAGTACTTGATTGTTATCCGTAAAATGGTAGAATATTATTAGATCTTTTAACCAATTTTAGTTGATACCACCAAATGAACGAAAATGTCTGTCCTTTAACGCCGGACACTAAGTCGTCCTTTAACGCCGGACAGTAAAACATATTGATATTTTTGTGAGAATTGACGTAATTTATTCCAATAATTTAATTTTATTCTGTATGAGTGCTAACGGTCACTACATACCCAAATTTTTCGTATTTCCTAATCAAAGAATGAAAATCTTATGATAAATGCTCCAGCTGAGAGCATCGACGTGGCCCAACCAAAAGGGTGGATAAATAGCGATGTTTTTTTGCAATATCTAAAAATATTCGTCAAACACAAATGTGCAGACATTCCAGAGTGTAGATATAGCTGCATATGTGTTCAATGCTGGTTATTTTAACATGTCCGGTACTAAGTGCCACTTTGTAAAATCATATTTTTTGTTACCAAAGTTTGATTGATATTATTAATTATTGTTTAGCAAAGATTGCGTTTTTGTTAATTTAGTTTAATTTCTAACGTTGTTATCTAACATAAGTCATAATTTAATAAACATTTCGTAAAACATTTTTTGATTTATTTATAAATAACCTTAGGTGTCCGTCACTCGGGGACTTCCCCCTACATACTGCAAAATGTGGTTGAAATATAAGAATTCACTAAAGTTTGGAATAATGTGCGGCGCTGTAAAAAATACACCTTTTATGTATTAGGTGCTTGTTCGTTTTTCGTTAAAAAAATGTGACACATTTAAACTACTAATTGCCTTACAGTAACTCAGTAACTTATACACGGTTATAATTAAAATATTGTTTTCTTATTAATTAAGGGGGTTGTTCTTTTTTTATTTTTCTTTGTGTCGGTTTTGAGATTTTTTGATATTATAAAAGATAAAAACCTTAGAATCATTAAAAAAAAATCATCTCAATATCTATTTTTTTGACGAAGTTATAGATATATATATCTCTATATGTATGATCCTCTGAAAGCGTTTTTTTATCGCTCCGCGAGCTATTGTATGCCAGATTCCTCTTTTTCATTATAATACCTCATGCATATGACCCTTTTAATGTGCCAGCATCTTTGAACACCATGTGCCAGCATCTTTGAACACCAAAAACTTTAAATACGTTTTTCTCAAATTGACTTTTTTCAAAGCGGTGCCACAAATTAAACAAAAACTACAAGTCGGATCGACTTGCATTTTTTTTAATTTGTTCACCACTGCGATATCTAGTCCCCCCCCTACCTCAAACAACTTGATAACATTACTCAAAAAAATTTTGCGAAGCTTCTCGCCCCAAAAAAAGGCTTTTTTTTGACACTTTTTTTTAAATAGCTGCCATTTTATTCCTTCTTGCTTTTTTTCTTTCATTTTGGTAGGGGGACTGGAAACAAACTTCTTCTTCAACGTAATTTCTTTTTTTTTGTTTCGGGCGATGCGCAACGGATTTATCTGTGGCACCGCAAAAGAGATCGATTTTGCAAGACTGAATTTGGCGCCCCCTGGTTAAAAAATGACGGCGCAAAACAAAAAGAAGAAAATCACGTAATATTCTATGATTTTGTAATTTTTGTTTAAGAAAAACCGCATGTCTCTATGATAAATACATTTCGAGAAAAAACAAAAACAAATACCTTGCATTTTTTGTAACAAAAAAAAAACAACCCCCTTAAGTTAATTATCTACACATGCCGGGAAGTTCATGCCACTTGCCTTGCAAATTGCTACTTACACTTTGTTATATTATCATTATCAATATCTCATGTCATATGTTTTTAATTCATAATGATAATTGATATAAAAGTACCTGTAAATTAATTTCCGTCGTACAGATCGTTTAAAAAATCCGGAGCATCCGTTGCAGGCGAGAATTCCATAGTGCTTCCCGGAGCTGGTGTCTCCGCACACGACACAGACAAGTCCGAGCACCGTGTGCTTTCTTGGACCCAGGTTGCCCTCCCAGCGACCCACGCTGGTCACCGGTGAGTAACACGACGGAGACTCCATTTGGCGCGATTCTGGAAATCGATTCAAATTATTAAAATCAGTGTTATACTTAATTATTAAGTATGATTTTAATTAATTGATTTTTTTAAATAAGTTAATTCATTCTTTACTCCATAGGCGAGGTAAAATGGTACAGTCAGAAAGCAAACAGATCCAAATTCTTATTTTTAATTTTAAAGAAATTTTTTGAAATAATAGCTACATTATTCAACCAATGTTTAATATGAATTTCATTGGCACATTTTTTACAGAAATATTGGAAATTGAAGTCTTTTAAACGGTATAACAAACTCAAATATATAATATATAGTATTCCCTGTAAAAGTACAATGTACCTTGGATCTTTCACCCAAAATAATTGCTTCAATAATGTTTCCTATAATTTTCATAATCTCGTATCATATTTTAACTGGTTTTTAGTAATTATAAAATCTAAATTACATTTTTCTTACAATTAGTAATAATTTAATATGCATTATTTCCAGAGACACTCCTGGGGTCCTCAGCACTCGCATGCCATTTTTTCTAGAATTTTTTTTCATGAATTTATTATACATATTCTAGTATTGTCTAGGTTTATTAGTAAATTAAAACTTTTGGCAGATGACAGTTTTAATTTATTTTTAATGCTAAACAATGTCTCAAATATTTTCAATGTCAATCAATGACATGTTTTTTTTTGTAATTTTTTCCATTTATTTCTACAATATTACTATATTTTTATAATCACATACATTATAAAAAATTCCCTTAACAAACTTCAGAAAGATTTATCAAAATCTGAATAATCGTTTAAGAGGAGTATACTCGTATTTACATACATCATTACAGAAGAATTTTATATATAATATATATATATATATATATATATATATTATATATATATAAATATATATATATATATATTTATATATATATATATATATATATATATATATATATATATATATATTTTGTATGATTCTGAATTTGATGTTGACATATGTATTTACAAAGTCTAATAATCGGGCATAACATCAATAAAAAACATGAATTTCTTCCAAAAATTTATTTTAAATCCATACGTTTCGGCTATAATCCTAGCCTTCATTCAGTGGAAACTAAAAATAAAATTAAAAACTAAAACAATTGAATTAGAGTGAAAAGAAAAAATAAAATAGTAAATAGTACTTACAATTAGTTTCCACTGAATGAAGGCTTTATTTTTAGTTTCCACTGAATGAAGGCTAGGATTATAGCCGAAACGTATGAATTTAAAATAAATTTTTGAAAGAAATTCATGTTTTTTATTGATGTTATGCCCGATTATTAGACTTTGTTATATATATATATATATATATATATATATATACGAGGTGTGTTCAAAAAGTACCCGGAATTACTAATAATTAAATTTCGCGGGTCTGGAGTGTCTGATTGTCAAAATTTTTTTTTTATTGTGTTGGTATACATGCCCCTAAAGTATGATGAATTTTTCAGCTATATTCACTGTTTACTTTGTCTGTGGTAGTCGCTAAGGTTCGACGTGTTTTTCTGAGCTCGGCGATTTTTACAATGGAAGAATTGAAAAGTCAAAGAATTTGTATTAAATTTTGCGTAAAAAATGAAATAAAGTATTGCAAAGTGCAAAAATTCACCAGATATGGCCCCGTGTGACTTTTTCCTATTCCCAAAGTTGAAGAGACCCATGAAAGGACGGCGGTTTTCCTCGATTGAAGAAAATCGCTGAGAGTGCTCAAGGACATATCAAAAAGTGAATATCAAGGGTGCTTCGAAAATTGGAAAAAACGCTGGCATAAGTGTATTATATCTGGGGGGGACTACTTTGAAGGGGACCACATTAATGTAGACGAATAAATAAATATTTTTTTGAAAAAACGAAAATTCCGGGTACTTTTTGAACAGACCTCGTATATATATATATATATATATATATATAACCTAACACGAACTTCTTAATAAACGGAATAAATCAATATTTCTTTAATTGTTAATTAAAAATAAATGGCTTGATTAATCTTTCTCATTTCCAATTAGCAATTATAATATTATTATCGAAGCCCTATTTGAAACCCCAATTGCTTGGTCTATAGAACGTTAATTTTATAGAAAGTTTTAATTGCAGGATTATAATATAACAATCAAAATGCTCAAAATGAGTTCAATTATGAAAGTAACTAGTGGAGCGCATGGCATCGTACTTTAAGGCAAATTGCTGGAACTTCCCGTACCAAAAATTATTATTTTTTTAAAAGCGATTAACATTTTTATTTTCGATTTTTTTGCGATTACTATAACTTACCCCACGGGAAGTTAACTAGACCTGAATTTTGACAAACCAAGTTTGACAATTTCCATTCAAAGCTTATAAAAGTACATACTAGAATCCGAATCGCATAACAAATTTTATAAAATAATTTAATTCAATACAAAGTGGATTTGCGACTGCAGGGAACAATCTCTTGGTACTTTTCCGCTGTAGCGAAACAATTTCAATCTCTAATCTAGAACTCATGGCAAAAAATGGAATAACTTTAACTGTTCCGTTGGGGGATTCTTAAATTTACATAATATGTATAATCAATAAAGTAATTGCACTCGACCCCTGCTTGAATTGCAAGCAAACAGATTTGGTTATCGCTTTAAATAAATTGATACTAGTTATGCAAAATTTGCATCGAGGGCACTTGCTCGGAATTACATTAGGCGAACGGACCGTGGGGACGGAACGAGGTGTCGTAAGTAAATTACGTCAATCCGTCGGCAGTCGGCACATACTGATTTACACTGAAATCAATCGACATTAGTGCGCCGTACTATCAGCTGTAGGGGAGACTGGGTACGGTAGTGACAGTCATCATAACAACTAAACTATACCGATTTTGAGATAGGGTCCAGAGAGAGAAAGATGCAGTGTGCTTGGTTGAACAAGTTTTCATCATTGCTTTAGTTAGTGCCTTACATTAACATGATCCGTAGATTGCATTACTTTTATAGAGTCAAAGGTAAGTTTTTATGTTCGAATTCTTTTATTAATAACTGTTTATTATATACAGATACATCACTTTGTTAATTTTCTGGAAGTTGAACATTAATAATTATTTACCACTTAATAGATAATAATAATAGATATAATTAGATAATTTATATCAGGTCTAATGTATGTGACTGTGACTGTATGTATGACTTTTATCCTGACGATAAAAGCCGTTAGAAACCATTTTCCTGTTTATATTTTTATGCCTTAACCGTCCACACTCCCAGGGACGGTTGTAATACTCATCCTTTGTTGTATATTAAGTTTTTTTTACTAATCCATCGTATTTAAAGACAATATTTCAGTATTGTCACATAGACAAATGCTCAAATTACTATTTAATTTACTTTTCTCCCAGCTAACTGGTAAATAATAAAATTATGGCAGATCAAAAAAGAAAGTGGCACAACCGTGCCCAGTCTCCCCTATACTGGTCAATCACAGTTAACTGGTTAAAGCAATTACATACTAATACTATTGCTAGTGAGGTTAGTATTAATATTATATAAAAAACTGTAAGAAAAAGCTTACAACTAAATATAATATTTGTAAGCACATAATAAATATTTAAATAAAAGATGAAAATTTACTCAAATTCTGATCTTAATATAAGACATCATAAATTTTAAATAGAAATTTGTTAAAGATAATCAAATTAACCAAATGATTAGAGATATTATAGTGAAAAATGTATAAAAGATAATTCGACAAAGTCCTGCATATAAAACAAATACATAACAATTTTACCATAAGTCTAAAAGTTTTAATAGTTCTGAAGTAATTACAACAGTTTATAATCTTGTATTTATATACTTAGGAGATATCCATTAAGTAAGCAACAGTTATCAAATTTAGCCAATTAAATAATACAAAATCAAATTACATAAAAATTGATCATTTTTTCTAATACTGAAATTTAAAAAAAAATTCCTAAAAAATTCAAATTTTAAAGCATGTTCAAATACTTTAAATACATATTACAACATTTTTATTATTTTTTAAAATATTGTTACTAATTTGCTCAAACTTCTCTAAATGAGTAAATTTTGTAATTTAAATTCTTAAACTTATTCAACTAATATTGCATTAAAGAACTGGAGATGTCTAGAAAGTCAATTTATTATTATGACACACTTTTTCTCAATAGATGTAGTTTAACTATATCATACTCTAGTACAAAAGTTCGACTCGTGAAAAGGAAACCCTTTAGCGTGCCCCCACACATGTAAATAAGGGATCGATCGCCAGTATAAAGTCGTCCCATTAAAAATGAATCACATCTCGTTCCGGAGGCGTCTCTGCTCCGCCGGGATAATAAATGCCGAAGCGCGCGCATTAACCCCCGACAATGGTGCTCGGTGCTCCTACGCTAATTCGTGCCGAAGCGACATATGTACACCAGCACGAGTGCCCCGGCCACCATAAGGGGGCCACCATACGGGGGCGCATATTGATATTTTATTTGCGGTGCAAGTGTCAAAACCGAGGGTGTGCAATCACAGTATGATTATCCCCTTGTGACTACTACGGTAAGACTTATTACTTTCCGCTTCTAAACGAATGACGGTAATTCAGGACGCGATTTGCAAAAAGCCGCAAATGATACGCTCGTACGCGATCTGCATTATTCGTGTTGTTTCAAATTTATAATTCAGCTCGGGTTCGAGAGAAACGCTCAGGAGATGCAAAAATTTGTAGAGAAAGGCTAAAAGAATAGAATAGGGCGTCCCTATGTAACACAAGTCAATAAATATATAATAATAAAGTCATTTGTGCTTGCCAGGCTTAAAATTAATTAGTTGAGAAAACAAGACTAGATTCTTAAATGTGCATAATTCACTTTTTTTTCAAAGTTTTGTAAAAAAAATTAAAAGTTTTTAAAAAAAACTAAAAGTTTTTAAAAAAAAATAATTTTCGGTACGGGAAGTTTCAGCAATTTGCCTTAAGGCACGATGCCATGCAC